TCTTGCGAAATTTTAATTCGAAAATTTCAGTTCTTTTAAAATTGCCTCTCGGGATACCCACGCGAAGATGCAATGATTGTATTAGAGTGGAGCTAGGGTAAGAGTTTGGGGGTGTGGATTGGATTTAACTAGCTCAGGATATCGGCCGATAGCGGGCTTCCTAAAACACGACAAAACAACATGATATCATAACCCAGAAGACGAACATCGATCAACATAGATGGCTGTCCTCTGGATTGTAGCACCGTAGAAGTCTGCCAACGTTTTAGAGGTCCTTGCTGCCTCCATCATCAGCGTCATGACTGGTCTCATTGCCCTCTCCTATTTTGTCCATGCCGTAGTGATCCTATCAAGACTAGATTATTCCAACAATCTGTAACTTGTTTAAACCTTTAGAAACTTTTCAATTCCTGTCGAAACTTGTCTAATCATGTCTGATCCACAAATTCCTACGTACGCCATGGTCCTATCCATTACAAATCAGCCATCAAAACCATATTATTCACAATGTATAGTGTGTTTCAAGTCCTGTTTCTTCATGGTGATTTGAGACTCAAAGTGTCTCAAAACTAAATAATGTGGGAAATAATTAATTGGTATCTGTCCATTTTCCCTGGGTTTCAGCAGCACGAACTGCATGATGCTTACGGTGTGGTGTGGTTTCAGTGCCGCCAATCTGCAGCCTCTCATGACACAGATTTCAGTGAACTGGATAATGTGGCATTCCTCCAGAAAGACCAGTGTTACTTTCAGTTAACAGTACCGATTACTACTGCGCTCTGCTCTGTTTTGCTGCTAAATGGTTTCCTCTCCCTTAATTCCACCTTGCTTCTTTGTTTCCTTTCTACATTTTTATTCTTTTAATGTTTCTTCCTTTTTCTTTGTTTTAAATGACAGTGCAGGACTACTGTTTAAAATAATTCTCTAAAACCATTTTAATCAAATTACTCTATAATTTTCATATTCTTTGTTAAGCAAGTAGTTATTTTAGCCGACGGGGTGTTATGCTACATTTATTCAGACACGTTTCACTTTTATGGATAACAAGAAAGTGTTACTAAACGTACACTAGTATAAGCCCAGTGACGTCTGTACCCCCCATTTCGTCCGATGTGATGTCATGCAAGGCTGTGGATTACTGAACTAACTCTGGTGATGGGCTCTAACTCTCTGTTTGTCTGTCTGTCTGTTTCACCCCTGCAGCTCTGTTGTCAGGCACGCTGAGAACGTACCAGCGGGTGGGCTGTGACGATGAAGTGGTGACCCTCAAGTGTCCGCACGGCACCAGCATCTCTGTACACGTAGCGCAGTACGGGAAGACTTCGCCCTCCACGGCGGTGTGTCCGCAGCGTTCCTCGTCGACCGGGGAGCAGGAACCTCCGCTGAACGTCACCTGCCTCTGGCCCACCGCCCTCCAGGTCAGTCGTTGAGACAAGTTA